GACACCGAGGGTTGCGATCCCGTTGCCGGTCCCCGGTACGGGCACGACACCGAGGGTTGCGATCCCGTTGCCGGTCCCCGGTACGGGCGCGACACCGAGGGTTGCGATCCCGTTGCCGGTCCCCAGTACGGGCGCGACACCGAGCATTGTGATCCCATTACCGGTCAGTAAAAAAGACAAAAAGGAAAAAAAAAGAACATGAAATTGCATCATACATTCCTGTAGAATAGTGTTGACCAAAAATGGCAGTGGTTGCACACAGCTCAGGAGAGCATTTACTTTTGCACAATGATAAGCCCTGGAGTCACAGAACCATCTTTACTATAAGCTCTGGCTTAACGTGCAACAATGGGATGCTACAGGCTTTACATGTCGAGAGAGAAGAGTAAACACAGACCTTCTCCTAGACCACTCGTGCAGGCTGCAATCCAGGTGACTCAACTGAAATCTAGTTCAACAGTAATTCAAGTCTTTGAGGAAGGAAGCCTCCAGATCCCCAGTGTGTACGTAGTGATAAGATTTCTCTTTAGGACCTATATCCCTCTCAACCCTACCTCTACTGGAACACGATTCACCCTCTCTTGCCCCTGTGCTCATCTTCCATACATTCCACCCTAATCTATTAAATATTTTAGTCAACTGCTACCAGAGGACCACTGGAGGAAAATGAAGGAGGACACATTTTAAAGACGGAGGCACTCTTGCTCTCCAGGATTTAGACTGTATCAGCAGAAATGCAAATAGACTGAGTCAGCAAGAATTTGCAAGGCTTAACCGCAAACCACAGACTTCCTATTGAGTTGCCTAGGAGATGGGGAGGTATGGGAGCGGCTCACAGCTGGCTAAAACATATATAATACATGCCTGTAGACCATAAAGTTGCTTAGTGAGTATGCTAAGTCCCAGAACTTTATGTCTGGTATCTTGTTGCCCATCTCCCTAGGCAGCAGCCCCTCGCTCAAGGCATGCCCTGAGCAACTCACTTTGCTGTAATCTCTTGGCAAGGCTATGTGTGGCTCTGCTCCCTGGCGGACTCCTGGCAAAGGCTACATGTAGTCCTGCCTCCTGAGACCCTCCAGGACCAAGAGAAACGTGCAGACCTTGACCTTCCTTAACTTTTCATTTAGTAATATCAATTTCCAAGTCATTCTCCTTGAAAAGTGTGGAATGTTGTGCTACTTGCTATCAATAGAGTTTAAAAACATTAATATAAATCTATGTTTTCTTAAGTCTGTACTATAAATGCTTTTTCCTTACTATTACCCCCTCTTTGGAAACCATTCTTAAAATTCAGATCAATAGTTTAAAATTATTTGTAGGGGATAGGGTGCACAAGAACCTGACTGTAAGAGTAACTTAAAAGATAAAATAACAATAATGAGACATTAAATAAAGTATTCTGGATAATTCCCTGCCCCATCTCGTGGAGCAGGTAAGCTTTGGTCTCTAAGAACAATACCTTGTTTTGACAGTTGTAGCAAAGAGTTGTAAATATCATGGCAATCTCTTTCTCTGGGAATGATGAAATGCACAGTCCTGAAATTCTTGCACTGAATTACAAGTGGGCATCCAGAAGTAGTCAAAGCAAGTTTTTCTACTGAGGCAATATGGTGGTGCAATATCTACAGCATGAAAACACATTAAAGTAATCAGTACGGAAAGCACTAAATATTATTCTCTTCCAGAGTACATAAATATTAGGAATGCCCTCCTCAAATAAAGTCTCAAATACTCATATGGAAGATTAAATGCATATAAATAAGAAAAACTTGAAAAGAGAGTAATAGAGAACTACTTGTCCGAGGGAAAATTATATATAGCACAGATAAGTAACACACACACATATGTATCCCATACTTATAGCTAAGATTTAGCACCATTAACATTTACATTAGTGGGTCTGTGCTAAGTTACTCAAAATAATCAAATAGTAACTTCTACATACAGAATAAGGGGCAATAAGCTAACTATAATATTATATCACTATTATAATTCCAATTAGGACCCAAAATTATTTGCAGAAAGAGAATGGTGAAGGGACCTGGCTCCACCACTAACTAATATTATATTCTGGAAAAAAAAAAATCATCTGTAAGATGAGAAGAAGAATAAATCGTCAGTAAGGACTTTCTAGATCTAAAATGTTCATTTCTACGGACATAGTATACTAAACAGACTTCATTCATAAGAGACATAGGAATATACTAGTAAGAAAGTATTCTAAAGACAAGAGGAGAGAAAAGAACAACATAGATATCTTTTTGCTATCCCCCCCCAAATTACATTCCCAACATCTGAAGGAATAGCTACATGGGAAACCTTCATTCGTACTGCTAGGAGATGGATAACATACAGAGAAGATATTGAGGCAGTTGGACAAAGGCAGGGTAGAGGAAGCAGATGATAATGTGGCTAATGATTTTACAAGGTACTGCTAGGTGAAACTCCTGGCAGTTCTTGGGCAAGCAGTGGGTGGGGAAGGGGTTTGGTGCCTCCAGGGAATACAACTTAATCAAGATCAACATCTTAGGTAGTACCTTAACTTACTTGCTGCAATCACTTATCAACTGGACGGCCTTCCCGGGGAAATACAATCAAAATATAATCAGAGTAAATCAAAGTGAGAAAGAGGAGAATGCAGGTGCACCGTAAGGGGTATACCCCTGAGCAATATGACTTTCTAGCCTAGGAGGCAGAACTGACCTCTAATCTTGATTCTACTCTTTAGAAAAACAGTAAGAGCAGTTACAATTTACTGAGTCAGTATTATGCTTTAGGCACAGATGCTTTTCCTATTTTCTCTCCTTTAAGATTCACAAGAGCGTTATATGATGACTAATGCTATACCCATTTTATGTAGGTGCTAAGCTTGAAAGTTACACACTTCTTGGCAGACACTTTTGGTCTACCATTCATCTCCCTCTTCCTTACTTGTGACACCCATCTCCCTGAAGAGATCAAAAATGCCAGAATCTACATTCTATACTTCCTATGCAGGCAGAAGTAGCTGAGTGTCCCAATTTCCAAACAATCAGATGTTACGTCAGCAGGGAGTTATGTGAGAAAGCTTCTCCTTGATAACAGGAGAAGGGCTACTGAGAAGAGTCCACCCACCACTCCTGCTTTGGGAGGTTTGGTGTCATTTTCAGTCACGTATTCATTTACTTACAGCCAAAAACACCCTGATGCAGTCACCTAACCAGGACACAGCAGAGCGGACATCTGAACCCAAAGCTACCTGACAGCACAGCCTAAGCTCCCTTTACTGTGTGACACTTAGCTGCCTGTGTGACACTTAGCATAACACCACTTCCCTGAGCTTCAACAATAAAATGAAGGTTATAAAATCTGGCATAGCCAGTAGCACAGAAATATGCCATGTCTTTCCCACTCAAGTATGTAGACATAAACTACATTCTATCCTCCTTTAATTTTCTGCTTAGCACTTACCACTATATATTTTACTTATTTATCCTATTTATGGTCTGTCTCTCCCCACTAGTACATGGGCTCCATGAGGACAGAATTTTTATCTCTTATTATCAGCTATTGTTTCCAAAATACCTAGAATAGTGAGATGAAACACATAGTAAGTGCTTAATAAATCTGTGCTAAATGAATGAATGAATAAATAAGTGAATTAATTACAAAACAAGAGGGGAAGAACAAAGAGCCCAAAACAGCCTTGACAATTTTAGAGAACAAGTTGGGAGGATTTGCTCTACTAGATATCAAATCTTATTAAAAAGCTATAGACAATAAAGCAGTGTGGTATTGGTACAGTGTAGTCAATACACAGAAAGAATAGAACAGAGAGCTCAAAAGCAGACTCTCACATACATGGAAGCTTTATTTTTGACAGACTTGGTACTAAAGATCAATGGAAGGAAACAGTCAACAAATAGTGCTGGTTGTCCATATAAAAAAAATAAAACTGAATCCTCATGTCACACCATACACCAAAATATTTCACAGATGCATCAACAACTATACATGGAGGACAAAACTTAAGCATGTAGAAGAAAATGTAGGAGAATCTCCATGACCTTGACAAAGGGAAGGATTTCTCAAGCAAGTCACAAAAGAGCACAAACCATTAAAGAAAAAAGGAAAAATGTGTAACATTAAGAATTTAAACTTTAATTAAAAGACATATACACAAAAACACACAAAAGACAAGCCACACACTGGAAGAAGCTATCTATGACACACATATGTGACAAAGCATTAAAACCCAGAACTCCTACAAAATCGATAAAAGACAAACAATCCAATAGAGAAAGAAAAGGGAATCACCCAATGGCGAAAATACCTGAAAGAATAACTTCTTTGTAATTAGTATATTAACATCACAATCAAACATCCACCAGATAGGCAAAAATGGTTAAGTTGACAATACCAATGTTGCTAAGGATGCAAAGCAACCATTTTGGGGAGGTGACATACTTAGTGAGCTTAAATATGTGCTTATCCAAGACCCAGTAATTTTACTCCTGGGCAAATATCCCAGAGAATCTTTGGCACATATGCAGGAAGAAACACATACAAGATATATATATATGTACATTTTCAAGTATACTTCAAGGTATATTTGAGTATATGTAAAAGAATATTCGAAAATGTATACGTATATCTTGTATACATATACAAGATGTTTTTATACATATATGTATACTGCAATGTTTATTCTAGAAAAAAATAATTAAACACCCTAATTACAATTTGGTATAAAAATACTGTAAAATATACCTAACAATCCACTTGATCTGTTAACATGTACATATATTATTTACATTTTTAAAAATTAAAAGGAACAAATAGATATTTTATAATTATTTACAGGAATAAAGAGTCTGGTTTTATACAGAAGAATTCCACATTACACATGATATCACTGATTTATTAGAAGGGAAGGCAGTAGTAATCTGGTGACTGGAATTTTTGGTTGAAATAGGTAACCAATGATTAAAAATTTTGCTATTCATGTTCAAAATAAAATATAGCGATAGACCATGTTCCTTTAGTATCATTATGGTAAACAGTACAGCTGCAGTCCTCCTTACCCAGGTTTCTTTTTGGTGAGAGTCTATAAAGAATAGATGTGTGGCCGTAAGATACAGTGTTCCTGTTAATGACTTGTTGCTAGTACTGAATCGATCAAGTAATTTTACTTGTTCAACCTAAAAAGGAAAAACACGTTATTTCTCATTTCAGAAATAGTATAAATTCTTTTTCTATTATCCCAGGACTTACATGCACCATTTTCATTTTTTCTTCCTTTTGTCCAAAAACATAAGAGCTTATTTAATATTCAGTGTTAAGTTCACGTGTCTTTTGGGGGAACATATAAGCCACAAACAACATAGGTACTATTTACAGTTACAAATGTAACCAAGAGAGAAGAATGCCATAAACTATATATATATATATATATATATTAAGGGAAGCAAGAAAGAGGGGTGCAGTATGAATAAGCAAAAGCATTTCTCATACTGAAGAGTGAATATTTTTATCTAAAATTGGAAAATCAAGTAATAAATATATAAGTTTATTCTGGACATAAACTATCAGAAAAATTAAATCAGGAAACAGTTAAATGGTTGCAAACTTCAACTCAGTCTCTATATTCTCCTCACAAACCCCAAGCCAGGACAATGACTGTTTTGTATCCAGCTCTGGGCTTTTACTCACGCTGTTCTCCCTTCACTAAAAGGAACTCTTCTGCTTAGCTATGTGCTAAGCATTCTTCAAAGCTCACTCAAACCCTGTGCCTCCTAACACGAATCCTTCTCAGAAAATCAATTCCTTACTTCTTAGAAAATCAATTACTTACATCTCAGCTTTGTATTCCTTTTTGAATTCCCTGGCACAAAGCATGTCATATACTGCTTCAGCCTCCTCTAGTGCAGGAGGCAGTTGAGATATGTAGTAAGACTTTATTAATACTAGCTGACACCTACATAGACACACACATGTACACGTGGTTGCCGCTAAGGTGGAAAGTGGGGTTAGGTTTGGCCAGGAATACACAGGAGACTACTGTCTTGAAATTTAGTGATATCCACACTTATGGGGGAAAAAAGTAAAATAACCACTACCAACTTAAAAAATGTAATTTACAGCAGATTGTAGACAGTTCTTTAAATTGTGTAGATCTTTAAAATCCAGTAGCTAACCATCATCTCATTAATTCTATACTTTCCTCCCACATATATTATCTTTTCCCTTACTAATTAAAGAACAAAATGCCACTATTATGAGATTATGATTTTCAAAGTTATCAATAACCACCATTTAAAAGGCTGATTAGCTTCTTCTTCCCTTCCCCACGCCCAGAAATTTACTTTCATGGAGGGCTTTTGCTTATAACAGCACTTGTTCAAATAAGCTAAAATTTAAATGTAAAATTAAAAAATTTTATTTGATACAAAACTTTATTTGCACAGTAACAATAAACTTAGTTTTAACAATTTCCTCTGGAGACAGAGATATGATCTAATTTATACAGCTCAGGTATAACATTTAATTTGCCATACAAAACCTGTGTGTTCATTTTACACTGTCCTTTAGGAAAATAGGAAGACTTGCTACTTATAAATATGAAGATTTCTCTTGGAGGCCAATATTTATTTCATTGTTTAGGACAATTCCTTCCTTAAATAATAATCTAACTTCATTGTACACACAATGCAAATCAAAACTTAAATTTAAACACCTCTTAAGACAAATGGGATCAACTACTGTTTACTTGGCTGGAAATGGCACTATGGCCAACCAACAGTAATAACCACAATATAGACCTCACATACTTTATTTCCTTAAGCAATTCACATTTTAAGGGTTCTAATGAAAAGAGAATTAATGAACACATATGGAAATTAAAGTTATCAGAAAGTATCGCCATTACTCAAGCTAACAATTTGTACCAACACCATTTTGTAGCACTTCAAATAGCTACACAGAGAAAATAAAAAAGTATATTGGCAAGTAGTTTATATGGGGGAGAGGGGACTGATTATTTAATTAAATAGGAAGTTTGTTTTAAAAAAAAATCCACGTGAAGTTTTTTAATTTGTGGATTATTGAAAGATCATAAATATTTCTAGATGTGTTTCAATCATAAGCCTTAAATTGTAATTTCTCTACAAGGCACAGTTATCTACAAAGCTTGTACACATGTAAAACAATCATACCACTCTTCATTTAGATTTTAACCCTCTTCTGTCCATCCCCTATTCACTACTATTCCTCCTCAGCGGTACATTTGCTATAGGAATTTTACCCACTGTCATTATTTTAACTTATATGTTAATGACTCCCAAAACCATAGGTCCAGCTCTGATCTCTCCTGAGTTCACACTGTCTGCTACTCATGTAACAATAATTTCTGACACACTATTGAGTACTGAGGTCTTATGTGCTCAGTACCATGATAAGTGCTTAATGCACAATATTTCTTTTAATATTCACAACTCCTGTGTGGTAGGTACTATTACTATCCCCACAGAAACTGAGATTTAAAGAGGTTAGGTAATCGTCACAAAGTCATACAGCTAGTAGCAGCTAGTAAGTGGTACATAGAATAGTTATAACCCTAAGTGGTTTGATTCCCGAGCCAGAACACCTTCCTATACTGTCTCCACTTGAATGTCTTTGAGTCATAACAAAACTGATTTCCCCTCATACTCCTTACAAATACGTTCCTAATTCTGTATTTCAGATGTGAGTAAATGTTACTTCACCCTCATCAAGTTACCCACACTGGAAATCTGCAAATCATCCTATGATTTCTTCTTGAACCCCAACATTCAATCACCAATTCCTACCAATTTCATAACCTACATATTTTTGAATCTTCCACTTCTGCTACTATTAAATTCCTAAATTATAATGAAAGCATCTGTTCATGTGTCTATGTGTCCCACAAAGGCTGTAACATATACCAGGGCAAGGACTGTCTCTCATTTATGTCTGAGTATAGTGTCTGACAAGATAAAGGTTTGTTGAACTAAGATGAACTGCCACAGAGAAATTATTTCCCGTAGGGGAAAAACAAAAATTGCCTACAATTTACCAGTGGTTCCTTTTGTTGAAATTATTCAAAGGATTTATTAAATAGAATTCTTTATCCCATTATACTGTTCCTCATTTCTCTCTGCTACTTTTCCCCTACATAATGGGTGAACAGTGGCTATTTATTCAGTAATTCATGAATAAATGAGCAACAAAGTAAAAACAAGTGGACAAACTACTAGTAGAACATGGTTATAGTTCAGCTTTTTGTTTGTTTGTTTGTTTGTTTTTTAAGCACATTTCTGGACTTTTAGTCCTCTATCCCCACCCCATCACCCAATTTGGGCTAAATCATTCTTCCTCTAGTACTGTATAGTACTACATAGTTCTTTCTGACTGGGTTTCTATCAAGATGGGAAATTCAAGTTGAAAATACTCCTTCTAACACTCTAAACCTACTTCCTGATTACCCCTAGTTTTACACCCAAAATTATCTGAAATTCCTCCTGTTAGATATTTAATTTTGATCAGCTATATACAAGATTCAAAGCCTAGTTGTTCATCTGAGTCATCTCCAAAATTTTGCAAAAGTACAAATCCCAAGCCTTACCTCAACTCCACCCAATCATCTGAGGAGATAAAGACCAAGAATCTGTATATTTAAGAAGCTCACCTACTCATTCTTATGCAACTGATGTTCCTTTTAACTTTAATTCTAAATTAATCCCTCTCACTCTTAACTCACATAAGGCTAGCTTCCTTCTCTACCTTTAGTCTCTTTCCCAGACATTTAAGGCTTCAGTGTATCTAGTTCTCCCACTTTTTAAATCTTATTACAACTTTGCCCCTTCAAAAAACATAACTGCATTACATGTACATACACACCCAACTCTGAAGAACATGCACATAAATATACAATACCAGGAGAGAGAGTTTACTAATTCATTCAACAAAAATTTACTGGCTGTCAACCGAAGGCCATCCTGCCTGGGTCTCATATCCTCCTCTGTAAAATAAGGGCAGTAATTTTTCCCTCAGAGGTCTGTAGTAAGGTTGGATAATAAATGTCAGATACTTTACCCCCTTTGTCTGATATACATATATAAGCAATAAAGTGCTCAAATAAATGTTTGCAAAAATTACTATCGTTAGTAATCTAGTGAGGTAAAGTTGAGCCCTGACAGTCCTCTGTTCTAAGCTACTGCCCAGTTAAGTCCAAATGGAGAAAGAAAAGATGTGCATGGAGTTTAAAAAGAAAATTCAATATTCTAATGTGCTCTACAGTTGAAAAAAACTGTTTGTCTAATACAAATGTTAAAAGCAAGGATCAATAACATTTTCTTCACTAATGAGAATACAGAAAAAATACAGAATTCTCAATAGAGGAGGCATAACATTTTATCTGTTGGAAAAGGAACATGTGTTAAGATAGAGAATCTGTATTGTGGATAAAAGGATACAAATAGAGGTTTTTAAGCACAGTAGTCTACAACCAGATATGGTTTTTAAGATCATTCCAGTGTCAATGTGAAGAAAATGCTGGGCTGAGTAAGGATAACAAGGTAAGAAGCTAATGAAGCAATCTAGGCGTGACTGGGAGAGATATCGGGGCCTGGAGTAAGCTGTGACAGAGAGGAAGCTCCTCTTGGAATAATAACAAAACTGATGTGAGAGGGCAGAAAGGAGAAATACAGATTTTTTTAAAATTTTAAGTTTTTCAGACCAGTTGACATTCACTAAGATAAGATCCAGAGAAGGAAAAGTAAGTCTGAGAGAAAAGAACGTCTTGAATAGAGATTAGTCATTACCTTAGTAAATGCAAAATTATATTCAAATCAAAGAAATTTAATAGTAGAAAATCATTACATATAACTGTCTAAATACGGCAATCTCTATATGGTTGTGACATAATAAAATTAAGCTGATATTATTCCAAACCATTTATGTAGTACTTAAAGTACTGAAGAAAATAAGAAAATTTCTGAGAAAATACACTGATTATTCTGCTCTTTGCTGCAACTCCCCCACCCCGAAAAGAGGAAAATTAGATCTTTTTCCTTGCTTAAAATCATCATACAAATTTCAAATCATAGAATTGTCAATTTCTAAAAACCAACTGCTTCTTTATATTTCCCCTTGTCACCAAGGAACCGAAAGTACTTTACAG